TCAGCAGTTATAAATATTAAAATTTTCTATCTGCGCTGAGTGAACAACCCTTATCAGGCTGCACACCCGCTGCTGCTCCTGCTCTACAGGTCTCCGCAGACTGCAGATTATAGATGCTTTAATCATGGTGTGTATTAACTGGAAGGCCAGCTTGAAGTACCAGGCAGAGAGCGCATAAGTCACTCCTGTTATTATTTGATTTTTATCAGACGCGGGGAGGAGGCAGAGGGCTGTTCTGGGGTTTTTTTTTGTTCTTGTTGGGTTATTTCAGTGAGCATAAAGGATAGTTTTATAAAAACATTGACATAGTCCCCCACGCTCCCCACCCATCGCTGCCGCATCCCCCTCCCAGAGGATAGCGATAAGGTCTCTCTGTGTTGCAAGGGACTGCCCTTGGTTTATTTTCCAGAGCTTTCAGTCATTTCAAGGCCGTTCTAAGTCATCCTAGCCTGAAGGTAAAGGATCCGAGCCGCTCATCAAGAGCTCGATGAGATTTGTCTTGTGAGCCAAAGGTCCAGGCGACCGTGGTGTTTGTGCAAATCAGCTTAGAATTTTAAGATGTTCACGGGGGGATGGAGGAAGTGTACATTTACACCTGTAAATAGGTGGAAAAGTGCAAATGCCAGCCCGAGGCCTGGGGCCGGCTTGCCCCAGGTAGCGGGATCCGTGCTCTGGGGCCGAGTCGGTGCCTGTCCCCTTCCAGCACGGCGGACCTAAGGACGCTTGCTTGCAGGCTGGCAGTGGTCCTCCAAGAAATTGGGCTTCTGTGTGTAAAATAACTCGCTTTTCACACCAGGTTCAGGGATCTCGAGTGGGTATTAGAACTGCCTACCCAAGCATCCCCGGTCATCTTAGCGGCCCGGGAGTCCTCTGCTGCTCTGAACTGCATGTAAGCTCCTCCAGCGTGCGGGAGCTGGGCACTGGGTGAGTTGATAAATCCCATCTTAGAATCATAGAATCATTTAGATTGGAAAAGACCTTTAGGATCATCCAGTCCAACCATTAACCTACACTACCAAGTCCACCACTAAACCAATTAAGGGTAGAGTAGCAATTTCATGTTTCCTGGCTTGGTGGCTGGATTAGTTTTTAATAAAAGTAAAACTAGGAATCACTAAGGCTGGAAAGGATCTCTAAGATCATCAGTCCAACCATCAACCCAACACCCCCATGCCCACTAAACCATGTACCCAAGTGCCACATCTGCCCGTTTTTTGAACCCCTCCAGGGATGGGGACTCCACCACCTCTCTGGGCAGCCTGTTCCAATGCTTGACTACCCTTTCCGTGAAGAAATTTTTCCTAATATCCAATCTAAACTGCCACAAGCTCCCGAGTGCTTCAAAAAAACCGGTAAGAAATGCCCAGCCCCGCTGACCGGCTGCTGTTAGTGTTACGGGGGTTTCCCAGCCCTGAGAGAG